TTTTACTTGTAGACTGTCTTATGCCAACAAATACGGTCCCATTCAGCGATAAAAGCACATGTGATGTACAAAATCCCGGGTGAAAAACAACCAAGGCAAAACACGAGTCTGCGAACGATTCCGAGAAATCCTATGTACTGCGCATGCGTGTTAAGGAAAGAATGCGCGACCGTTGTGAGACCGCTCTTGGTTTTGACTTTTTAAAGCAATGTTACACAGACGACGATTTCTCAAAATCCACTCATTAAAGTTTTTTGATATTTGGCAGAAATTTTACTTTTATCATATTTCAAATAATGAGAACTTTAAAACGGAAGTTGAACAGACGAATTTTGTGACACATTGAATAATAACAGTACAATTATATTGTTGATTATCTAAAAACCCGTCTGTTAAAATTTGGTCAAATAAGTTTCAAATGGTAATGATTAATTATAGTAAGCTGTGTGCAAGTTTATAGGAAAATCTGATGAGCGAATTTTATGTAAACTGAGCAAAAAGGAAATTTTAAGGTTCTATTCAATCGTTAATGTTGCCATGGAAACTACAAAAACGTCAAATTTTAACTGTCAATCAAAATCTTTTATCAGTATATTTTTCACTTGCCAAGTTTCAGCTTGTGAGCTGCAACCTTCCTCTTGCTATGATTTGGCAAACGACATATACTCACAAACTGCCAAAACTGTGTTCAGCCACATTAAATGCGCTTGATTTTACTGTTTGTTACGATCTTACAAAAGTACACTTTAACTCTGCAGATTGTCTGAACAGGTAGATGTTGCTTTTATCACGAATCAAAAATGGGTATGACTCCTCAGCGACCGCTTACTTTGAAAGGTTCTTGTTCCGGTTCTCAGCTGTGCACGCGGTCTTCCAACAGGCTTCTCTTCTTCTTATGTGAGTATTATATACAATGTTCCCTCTTTATGCATAACATGTTACTAAGAGGCTTAAGTATACGCCATATGGTAAGCAAATGAAGGGCAGTAAACATTTCTATACTCCCGGGGTCTGTACACGGGCTAAAGATTGATTTCAGCATTTCTGAAAAATTCCACAAGAATTTCCTGAGAATTCTTAGGGAAATCAACGTAAAGTAATCGGCTAAGAGATAATTCTTGTGAAATCCTAGCCTAGGACTGTGTGGAGAAATTTCGCCGAGGTAAATCTTGCTTTTCAGTGTAATTTTCGACAGTTTTATAATCATTTTATTTCATGAATTTAAATGGTATTTCCATCCTGTTTTTGTACTATTTTCAGACAACTTTAAGGCTATTTTCTTACAATTTTATACTGTTTTTGCATCCTATTTTTGATGTATTTTCATAATATATGCCTGCTATTGCTGTTCTTCTTCTGTGGTATTTTAATACTATTTTCAAAGTATTTTTATTGTATTTGCAAATACGAGTATTTTACTAAATTTCGAAACCAATTAAACTTCTCTTAAAATATATTTTGAAGCATAACATTTTAATAGCGTTTTAAACAGGTTAAAAATATTTGTACCTATTTTAAACCTTTTTTTTTTCAAAATACGTTTGAAATTGCCATTAAAAATAGTTTTAAAATAGTATAGCAAATTAAAATATGTTTTTGAAACTGTTTTTATCCTGTTTTTATTCCGATTTATAAGGTATTTAAAAACTGTTTTAGATCTGTTTTGAGCCTTGCAAAAGCCCTGGAATTTTTTATATATTTTAAACGAATTTTAAAATAATTTAAAAATTATTTTTTAATAGCGTTTTAAACAGGTTAAAACACCTTTAAAAGCAGTCCAAACATACATTAAAAATACACTTTTCACCCTATTTAAAACCTATTTCACAAAACAGGTTAAAAACAGTTTTCAAAAATAGCTTAAAAATACATTCAACAGTATTGGATTTGGTAAGGACATATAAAGATATTTTACAGTGGAAACGTGTGGAAATACTGCTCAGCAACTTTCAGGTTGTAATATAAGCTTACCATTAGAGTTTCTTACATGTCGACGTTGGGTGTTTAGATGCTTGGACGTCCCATAGGTTTTGCTAGCCTTCGAAAACAGCCTTTTCTCCTCGCTCCTCGCCGCTAGGGACGTTTCGTGAGGAGGAACGTCTGCGACTCAGCAACAGAAATTCGTCAGTGCTGGGAGATTTTAAAAAATTCGCCGGGGAATTCAAAGCCAGTCAGAATTGAGGTATTTAAATGAATGTTAAACCGTAAAAAAACTGATACCATACCCAAATCTCTTTTTGCAACCATAAACACTCGCGCATGCGTGCAAGGGGAGCTTGAAACCGACGACAGTACTCACAGTAGTCAGCGGATTATCCATCAAGAATACTTATTAAAGAACAATTTATAAGTAAATTCCGTGCTTTTCTGCATGAGCTATTCCTTTCAGAAGGTTTGCCTGAACAGTCCATACGTAATACATGCATGAGTTGGCTGGTCATCCTGTTGTGGTGTTGAATTGTAAGTGACTAAACTAGATAAAAGCTTAAGTTTTGGGCTGTTTTAATTTATTGTCGCATTTATAGTTTCTAACTACAATACACACAAATGACGGAGTTCAGTGCCACGTAGCAGGCCGCGAACGCTGACAAACTTGCAGTGGTTGAGTTAATTCCCTTGACACTTAAGGTGAAAACATGCAGCAGTCCCGTTACTTGCTTGGGTACGTTTACTTAGTACATTTCATTTTTCATTATTCCATTATTATTTTTTCATTAGACTAACAGGCTTAGCTTCAATCCTTCCGCAGACAACTCAAAGAAGAAAGAGAGAGAGAGCAAACTAAAAAAGCTAAGCTTCAAACTACACCTTTTGCCCTTTATTAACAGAAAATAGAAATTCACTTTATTTTACGGGGATTCAATAACATCTTCGGAAGTCATTTCTGGCAAGTAATGAATAGATAAGTTAATTCAGTAGCGAATTTAAACTTACAGGTTTTTCGGGGCACCCTGCGTTCTTAGCAGCCGTGTTCGGTAACAGAATACGCAAATTTTGTTCTCCAACTGTTCTGTTGTTGAGCTTCCTCTCTACCATCAGCTGTGTCTTACTTGTACTGTACGATGAACATATCGACAAAGGGTTCTCTTAGAATCAGCTACTGTATTAAAGGAAGCCTACAATTGCGATGGAGGGAGGAATCAGAAAAATTCTCACTGTCGTTATACGTTAAATTGTATCTAAATTTTCGGGAAATTGATACTGAAACCGTTGTAATTTCGAAAGACTCAAGCTTCCCTAGGATGACTGAACAGATACAAATTTTATAGCGCCGCTTAAAATGCATTTCTAGAGCTTTAAAAGTACGCTGGATAGCCTAAAAAGTGTTTAGGAGGAAACCGTAGTTGGGTGCCCCTGGAAAGTTAGCGATGGTGGCGGAGATCACATCGCTTTGCGACCTACCTTGTGTATTTTAATGTATGGAGAGAGAATTACGGCATATTTCATGAAAGTTAGAAGGAGCTTTAATGGAAAACAACTAGCAGCAAAGAAGGTACTTTCCTTGACTTTTACACTTGGTCTTTCCTAAAAAAAAGTTTAGGATCGTAACTTAATGATAGTGCTACTTAATTAAAATAAATCAATTTATTGACGTGTCCAAGGCAGTCGATATGAAGCTACAGTGACCGTTGATTAAACATTTTAACATGCCATAAAGAAAATCTCAAACGAATAAAACTTTTACAAAACGGGACGCTTTTTGTCAAAAGGTGGGCAATCATTCAAGTCGGTAAATAATGAGGGCCTCCCTGGGGTTTTAGGGAACAAGGGAACATGGCCTTTTACTTTTAAGGAACAAGGGATATCTTAATTAAAATAACTTTTAGGGAACAAGGGGACTGTTGAGTTCTAATGGGGAGAATCTGTTTTGTCACAGAAAGTTATGTTTTAGCTATTGTTTAACCCAAAACAAAGGGGATCCAGAAAAAATGAGAAAGTCATTAATTGCTATTGTGCCTCATGCATTTGGAGAACACAAAACATGTGAAGAAAACAGGTTGAGCTGGTGCAACTGGCTCCAAAATCCAGACACTTTTTCCCTCAAGGACCTCCCAAATGGCAAAGATTTAAAGGGGGGACACCTGAAGAAGAACCTAACTAGTTTGTTTAGCATACACTCGAGTGACATTGTTATTAACAAACTTGTTGAAAATGCTTCCTCTCAGAGCAATGAAAGTTTGCACAGCACAGTTGGTTCCAAAGTTCCTAAAATAAGGTTTTATGGAGAAAGTGAAAACTGTGCAGATCAAAGAATTGCTGCTGCTGTAGCTCAGACAAACCTGGGGAAACAATATCTAGTGGACACTTTACACTGTGCTGATATAGAACCTGGTCAAATTACTGAACAAAAAATAGCAATGATTGACTATGAGCGAGATGCAGGACAGAAAAGGAAGTCAAGTGTTGAATTTAAAAAAAACGTAGGCTGAACTATTTGAAAAGGAAATCGAGAAATATATCTGCATCAAATCGAGAGGGAATCAGCTACAAAAGTGGCATTACACTAACCCTTGACCCAGATCTATTACAAAAAGCAGTTGTCACACCACAAGAATTAAAAGAATTCGAAAAATATGTACCAACTTTCAGCGAACGACCTTCTAAGAAGTACATCACATGTCCTGACGACGAAAACAGTGTTAAAAGCTTTAGCTTTGTAATATTTGACACGGAAACAAGCTGTGGAGGCAAACAAGCTGAAATCATTCAATTAGCAGCCGAAACAAACGAAGGAAGGTCATTTTCCACATTTACAACACCGAAAAATGAAATTTCCCCTCATGCTTCTCGTGTTAACAAGTTCAAAGTATCTTTACTGTGGAGGCAACATTTCGCAAACAGTTCCTTTTCGTGAATGTCTGCGATCAGTTGTTGATTTCCTTGAGGATTCAAAGGGTTCTTGTGACAAAATCGTTCTCACTGGCCACAACTCTGCATCGTTCGATGCACACATCCTGTTAAGAACAATTCAAGAGTACTCACCAGAGCTTCTTCATACAATGAAGGAATTAAATATGCATTTTGCTGATAGTCTTATCCTGATCCGCAACTTGATAAAAGAAAAACACGCGGGACTCAAACAAGATGACGGATCGTTCATAAAAATAAATCAAGAAGCGCTTTACAAACACCTGTTCGGAACTGACTTTCAGGGTCACGATGCGCTTGAAGATGTAAAGGCACTAAGCAAAATTCTTTTTAAGTCCTCACTGCAGTTATCTCTTTCCAAAATTGTCAACAAAAGCGGCACAACCGACATTAACTCAGCCATAGGAGATATGAACAACCTTGACAGAAGCCATGGTCTTCTGAAGTCATTTGATGAAATAATAGGTGATCTCTCGGAAGGCGGAGTAATGAACAAGTCCACAGCGAAAAAGCTCGCCGATTCTGGACTCGGTTTTCACCACCTTAAAAGCTTGTTCGACACACAAGGAGAACAAGGACTTCTTGCAATATTAGCGAATCCACCAACCAACAGCCGTCGAGTTCGTGTTCGTGGAACTGGGGACCCGTTGACATTACATGTAATTCTAAACCATTTCAAAAAAATTCAGAGTTGAATTCAACTCTTAGTTTTACTTGTAGACTGTGTCTTATGCCGACAAATACGGTCCCATTCAGCGATAAAAGCACATGTGATGTACAAAATCCCAGGTGAAAAACAACCAAGGCAAAACACGAGTCTGCGAACGATTCCGAGAAATCCTATGTACTGCGCATGCGTGTTAAGGGAAGGATGCGCGACCGTTGTGAGACCGCTCTTGTTTTTGACTTTTTAAAGCAATGTTACACAGACGACGACTTCTCAAAATCCACTCATTAAAATTTTGAAATGTTTGGCAGAAATTTTACTTTTATCGTATTTCAAATAATGAGAACTTTAAAGCGGAAGTTGAACAGACGAATTTTGTGACACATTGAATAATAACAGTACAATTATATTGTTGATTATCTAAAAACCCGTCTGTTAAAATTTGGTCAAATAAGTTTCAAATAGTAATGATTAATTATAGTAAGCTGTGTGCAAGTTTATAGGAAAATCTAATGAGCGAATTTTATGTAAACTGAGCAAAAAGGAAATTTTAAGGTTCTATTCAATCGTTCATGTTGCCATGGAAACTACAAAAACGTCAAATTTTAACCGTCAATCAAAATCTTTTATCAGTATATTTTTCACTTGCCAAGTTTCAGCTTGTGAGCTGCAACCTTTCTCTTGCTATGATTTGGCAAACGACATATACTCACAAACTGCCAAAACTGTGTTCAGCCACATTAAATGCGCTTGATTTTACTGTTTGTTACGATCTTACAAAAGTACACTTTAACTCTGCAGATTGTCTGAACAGGTAGATGTTGCTTTTATCACGAATCAAAAATGGATATGACTCCTCAGCGACTGCTTACTTTGAAAGGTTCTTGTTCAGGTTCTCAGCTGTGCACGCGGTCTTCCAACAGGCTTCTCTTCTTCTTATGTGAGTATTATATACAATGTTCCCTCTTTATGCATAACATGTTACTAAGAGGCCTAAGTGTACGCCATATGGTAAGCAAATGAAGGGCAGTAAACATTTCTATACTCCCGCCTGTACGGCAATTTTAGTTTTTACAGCGTTCCTTGCTCAGCCTCGCTGTTTTGAGTGATTGATCTCAGTCACTTGATGTCACGTCACCGAGCTCTTTCATTCTCGTGTAAATTTGATCGTGTTATTCTTATGTTGTTCTTTATCAGCCAATAATTAATGTTCAGGCGTAGCCTGCAAGCTTCTGATGATATTTGGGTAAGGCCGTGAATATAATAAACAATGTAAGTTACTATGTATGTAGTTTGTTATATTTACTTGTAACGTCAGTAACGCTATACCCTTTTGACGCCGAAGATTGATAGCCTGCATGTATACAGACCACCCCCCACCTCCCCTCCAATTTTTATTGAGGGTAGGGGGTCTGTACACGGGCTAAAGATTGATTTCAGCATTTCTGAAAAATTCCACAAGAATTTCCTGAGAATTCTTAGGGAAATCAACGTAAAGTAATCGGCTAAGAGATAATTCTCGTGAAATCCTAGCCTAGGACTGTGTGGAGAAATTTCGCCGAGGTAAATCTTGCTTTTCAGGGTAATTTTCGACAATTTTGTATTCATTTTATTTCATGAATTTAAATGGTATTTCCATCCTGTTTTTGTACTGTTTATGCTCTTTCGACCGATTTTTGTACTATTTTCAGACAACTCTAAGGCTATTTTCTTACAATTTTATACTGTTTTTGCATCCTATTTTTGATGTATTTTCATAATATATGCCTGCTATTGCTGTTCTTCTTCTGTGGTATTTTAATACTATTTTCAAAGTATTTTTATTGTATTTGCAAATACGAGTATTTTACTAAATTTCGAAACCAATTAAACTTCTCTTAAAATATATTTTGAAGCATAACATTTTAATAGCGTTTTAAACAGGTTAAAACACCTTTAAAATCAGTCGAAAAATATTTGTACCTATTTTAAACCTGTTTTTTTTTTTTCAAAATACGTTTGAAATTGCCATTAAAAATAGTTTTAAAATAGTATAGCAAATTAAAATATGTTTTTGAAACTGTTTTTATCCTGTTTTTATTCCGATTTATAAGGTATTTAAAAACTGTTTTAGATCTGTTTTGAGCCTTGCAAAAGCCCTGGACTTTTTTTATATATTTTAAACGAATTTTAAAATAATTTAAAAATTATTTTTTAATAGCGTTTTAAACAGGTTAAAACACCTTTAAAAGCAGTCGAAAAATACATTAAAAATACACTTTTCACCCTATTTAAAACCTATTTCACAAAACAGGTTAAAAACAGTTTTTAGCTTAAAAATACATTCAACAGTATTGGATTTGGTAAGGACATAAAGATATTTTACAGTGGAAACGTGTGGAAATACTGCTCAGCAACTTTCAGGTTGTAATATAAGCTTACCATTAGAGTTTCTTACATGTCGACGTTGGGTGTTTAGATGCTTGGACGTCCCATAGGTTTTGCTAGCCTTCGAAAACAGCCTTTTCTCCTCGCTCCTCGCCGCTAGGGACGTTTCGTGAGGAGGAACGTCTGCGACTCAGCAACAGAAATTCGTCAGTGCTGGGAGATTTTAAAAAATTCGCCGGGGAATTCAAAGCCAGTCAGAATTGAGGTATTTAAATGAATGTTAAACCGTAAAAAAACTGATACCATACCCAAATCTCTTTTAGCAACCATAAACACTCGCGCATGCGTGCAAGGGGAGCTTGAAACCGACGACAGTACTCACAGTAGTCAGCGGATTATCCATCAAGAATACTTATTAAAGAACAATTTATAATTTGTTCTAAGTAAATTCCGTGCTTTTCTGCATGAGCTATTCCTTTCAGAAGGTTTGCCTGAACAGTCCATACGTAATACATGCATGAGTTGGCTGGTCATCCTGTTGTGGTGTTGAATTGTAAGTGACTAAACTAGATAAAAGCTTAAGTTTTGGGCTGTTTTAATTTATTGTCGCATTTATAGTTTCTAACTACAATACACACAAATGACGGAGTTCAGTGCCACGTAGCAGGCCGCGAACGCTGACAAACTTGCAGTGGTTGAGTTAATTCCCTTGACACTTAAGGTGAAAACATGCAGCAGTCCCGTTACTTGCTTGGGTACGTTTACTTAGTACATTTCATTTTTCATTATTCCATTATTATTTTTTCTTTAGACTAACAGGCTTAGCTTCAATCCTTCCGCAGACAACTCAAAGAAGAAAGAGAGAGAGCAAACTAAAAAAGCTAAGCTTCAAACTACACCTTTTGCCCTTTATTAACAGAAAATAGAAATTCACTTTATTTTACGGGGATTCAATAACATCTTCGGAAGTCATTTCTGGCAAGTAATGAATAGATAAGTTAATTCAGTAGCGAATTTAAACTTACAGGTTTTTCGGGGCACCCTTGTTCTTAGCAGCCGTGTTCGGTAACAGAATACGCAAATTTTGTTCTCCAACTGGAATGTTCTGTTGTTGAGCTTCCTCTCTACCATCAGCTGTGTCTTACTTGTACTGTACGATGAACATATCGACAAAGGGTTCTCTTAGAATCAGCTACTGTATTAAAGGAAGCCTACAATTGCGATGGTGGGAGGAATCAGAAAAATTCTCACTGTCGTTATACGTTAAATTGTATCTAAATTTTCGGGAAATTGATACTGAAACCGTTGTAATTTCGAAAGACTGAAGCTTCCCTAGGATGACTGAACAGATACAAATTTTATAGCGCCGCTTAAAATGCATTTCTAGAGCTTTAAAAGTACGCTGGATAGCCTAAAAAGTGTTTAGGAGGAAACCGTAGTTGGGTGCCCCTGGAAAGTTAGCGATGGTGGCGGAGATCACATCGCTTTGCGACCTACCTTGTGTATTTTAATGTATGGAGAGAGAATTACGGCATATTTCATGAAAGTTAGAAGGAGCTTTAATGGAAAACAACTAGCAGCAAAGAAGGTACTTTCCTTGACTTTTACACTTGGTCTTTCCTAAAAAAAAGTTTAGGATCGTAACTTAATGATAGTGCTACTTAATTAAAATAAATCAATTTATTGACGTGTCCAAGGCAGTCGATATGAAGCTACAGTGACCGTTGATTAAACATTTTAACATGCCATAAAGAAAATCTCAAACGAATAAAACTTTTACAAAACGGGACGCTTTTTGTCAAAAGGTGGGCAACCATTCAAGCCGGTAAATAATGAGGGCCTCCCTGGGGTTTTAGGGAACAAGGGAACATGGCCTTTTACTTTTAAGGAACAAGGGATATCTTAATTAAAATAACTTTTAGGGAACAAGGGGACTGTTGAGTTATAATGGGGAGCAAGGAAACATTGATTTCCTAACCATTCGAAAAACATTTTTTAATGTGTAAGAGGAAAAAAGGCCTTTCCGACAACAAAATATTACAATTTCTCTCGTTTTTCGGGCCCTGGAAATAAATCATCTTAATCATTAACCATATGTCTTAACCGTTTGAAGCACAACCAAATGTCCACAAACAATAGTGTACCTGCAAACTGTTGTAGCCATTGCAGTGACTGTGTCAACTTAAATGCGGTCTGCGATGTATGCAGGAGAAAAGGTCACGCAGTGATTAAACCTGCCTTGCGACCTTGTAGTGACTGCATGGAGAAGGGAATACAGTGCATAAAAGCAGCAGTTATCTGTATCTCCGAGGATTCTGAGTCGAGAAATTCTGGTGCCCAGAAGCAACTGATGAACGAAAAAAACAGCAACTGGAACCTTTCCTGTCAACGGTATCTCCTGTTCCAGATGCTGTGCATGTAGCAAAAGAAGTTTCTCAAAGTAGTTCCTTTTGGTAAGTCAGAATTATCGCAGAAACTTAGTCCAGCTGAGGGAGTTGAGAAATGACAACAACATGCATTCTGAGCTCGCACCATTGTGGCCATTAAGTGCAGTACGAAATCATGATCGGCAAGACGTTGAATCAATCATGCAAATTTCTAATCCTTCAGTTAGAAAAGTTATTCAACAAAATGCCCAAACAGTGACACATACAGTGGTGC